AGGTAGGTGCACCTGTATTGTGCAGTGCCCACGGGGTTCAGAAGAGAGCATTGGATTCCCTGGAAGTGGAGATATGGATGGTTGTTAGCCACCATGTGGGTGCTGGGAATCGAACTTGGGTCCTCTGCAGGAGCAACCAGTGAGTGCTCTTATCTACTGAGCCATCTCTCCAGCCCCTCTTAGCTATCTTTATTTATTCTTTTTAAGAGTTCTGTATTCAGAAATGTTCAGATTGTTTTTTAATTGGGTCATTTGTTTTCTGATTCTTTAGTTTTTGAGTTCGTTGCATATTCTGGATATTAAACTTCTGTCAGATGTGTAGCTGGTGAAGATTTTCTTCCATTCTGTGGGTTTCCTCTTGATCAGCTGTTTCTTTTACTGTACAGAAGCTTTTTAGTTTAATGAGGTCCCACTTACCAATTGTTGACCTTAATTCCTGACAACTGGTGTCTGATTTAGAAAGTCCTTTCCTACACCTATATCTTGTAGAGTACTGCCTATGTTTTCTTCTACGAGTTTCAGTGTTTCAGGTTTCACATTGAGGTCTTTGATCCATTTGGAGCTGACTTCTGGGCAGGGTGATATATAAGGGTCTAACTTCATCCATTCTTCTACAGGTGGAGATCGAGTTTTGCCAGCGCTATTTGTTGAAGATGCTGTTTTTCCTCCAGGTGTGTTCTTGGCACCTTTGTCAAATACCAAGTGGCTGAAATTGCATGCATTCATGTTTAGGTCTTCTATTTTGCTCTGTTGATCCACATGTCTGTTTTTGTGCCAATACCATGCTGTTTTTAGGACTATAGCTCTGTAATATAGATTGATATCTGATATAGTAATCCCCCGCCTCCAACACTGCTCTTGGTTCTCAGGGTTGCTTTGCTTTTTTTTTTTTTCCTCAGGATTTGGGGTCTTTTGTGATTCCATATGAATTTTAGGGCTTTTTCTATCTATGTGAAGAATGTCATGGGGATTTTGATTGTCACTGCATTGAATCTATAAATGGCTTTTGGTAGGATGGTCATTTTCACAATATTAATTCTACTAATCCATAAGCTTGGGAGGTCCTTTCACCTCTTTGTGTCTTTTGAAATCTTTCTTCAAAGATTAAAATTTGCATTTTATTGGGTTTATTACTAGACATTTTTTGGGGCTATTGTGACTGGGAGTGTTTCCATGAACTCTTTATCTGATTGGTTGTTATTGGTACATAGAAAGGCTAGTGATTTTTGTAAATTGATTTTGTATCTTGTCACTTTGCTGAAAGTGTTGGTCATTTCTAGGAATTTTCTGGTGGAAGTTTTGAGATCTCTTATGTGTAATATCATATCATCTGCAAATAGGGATAATCTTCCCTTTTCTTTTTCAATTAGTACCCCTTTACTTTTCTTCTCTTGTCTTACTGCTCTGGCAGGAGTTTCAAGCACTATATTGAAGAGGAGTGGAGATAGTGGACATCCTTTTCTGGTTCCTGATTTTAGTGGGAATGCTTCCAGTGTTTTCCATTTAGAATGATGTTGGCTGTGGGTTTATTGTATATAGCTTTAATTATGTTGAAGTATATTCCCTGCAGTCCAGTTCCCTCTAGGACTTTTATCATAAATGCATGTTACATTTTGTCAAAGGTCTTTTCTGCATATATTGAGATGATCATGTGATTTTTGTCTTTAATGCCATTAAAATGATTTATTACATTTATTGATTTATGTATAGTGAACCATCTCTGCATCTCTGGAATAAGACTGACTTGATCATGGTGGATGATCTTTTTGATGTGTATCTGTATGTAGTTTGCAAATATTTTGTTGAGAAATTTTGCACCTATGTTCATTAGAAATTTGGGCCTATAGTTTTCTTTTTCTGTTGTTTCTTTCCTGGTTTGAGTATTGGAGTAATACTGGCTTCATAGAAGGAGTCTGTGAGTGCTCCTTCTGCTTTTATCTTTTGAATAGTTTAAATAGTATTGGTTGTAGATCTTTGAATGTCTGGTAGAATTCTGCTGTGAATCCATCTGGGCCTGGGCTTTTTTAGTCAGGGGGTTTTATATTACCATTTTGAGCTCCTTGTTTGTCATGGGTCTGTTTAAACTGTTGATGACTTCTTGGTTCACCTTTAGTAGAGCCATTGAATTTAGAAATTCATTCATTTCTTTTACACAATAGAGTACAGGTTTTAAAGCAATTCCTTATACTGTTCTGGATCCTTTCAGTGTCTGTTGTGATGTTCCCCCTTTAGTCTCTAATTTTATTGATTTGGATTTGCTCTCTTGTTCTTTTGGTTAACTGGGCTAAGGGTCTGTCTATCTTTTCAAACACCTAGTTCTTTAATTCACTGATTCTTTGTATTGTTTCTATTTTACTGATTGCTGCTCTGGTTTTTATTATTTTTTTCTCATCTGTTGGGATTGGTTTTGGTTTGTTCTTGCTTTTCCAAATTTTTGAATTGCACCATTAAGTCATTTATTTGTGCTCTTTCTGATTTTTTAATTTAGGGGATTAGAGCTATAAATTTCCCTCTTGGGACTGATTTTAACGTGTCCTAGGGTTTTTTGTGTGTGTGCTGTGTTATAATTGTCATTTAGTTCCAGGAATACTTTTACTTCTTTCTTAATTTCTTCTTTGACCCATTCATCATTCAAAAGTGTGTTGTTTAATCTCCATGAGTTCATGTACCTACTAGAGATTCTTTTGCTGTTGATTTAAAATTTTATTGCATTGTGGTCCAATAGAATACATGGAATTATTTCTAATTTTTTGTATTTGTTGAGGTTTATTTTGTGCCCAAGTATGTGATCTATTTTTGAAAAATTGCCATGGGCTACTGAGTAAAATGTGTATTCTTTGGTGCTTGGGTAGAATATTCCGTAGATTTCTGTTAAGTCCATTTGATGTATGATATCATTTAATTCAGATTATTTCTCTGTTTATTCTTTGTCAGGATGACAAAGAATACCTACGGAGAACGTGGAATATTGAAGTCGCCTGCTATTACTGAGTTGGGGTTAATCTGTGCTTGACATCCAGCAGTACTGTTTTCATGAAATTAGATGCACCAACATTTGGTGCATTTATATTCATGATTGTGATGTCAGCTTGATCAATTGTTCCCTTGACCAGAATGTAGTGACCTTCTGTATCTCTTCTGATTAATTTTAACTTGAAGTCTATTTTCTCAGATATTAGAATAGCAACCTTGCTTGTTTCTTAGTGCCATTTGCTTGGAATTATTATTATTTTTTGTACCTTTTCATCCTAAGGTGGTGCCTATCCTTGGAGGTAAGATGAGTTTGTTATAGACAACAAACAGATGGAATTTTTTCTTCATCTATTCAACTTTGGACTGGGGAATTGGGGCCATTGATAGAATTATTATTGAAAGGTGTGAATTGGTTACTATCATTTTGTTTGTGTTATTAGTCTTATTTTGTGTTTTTAATACTTTATAACTTCATTTGTTGCCTTTTTGTAATCTTTTGAGTATGGTCATTTCTTTCTTCATTCTTTGAGTATTCTTTTTTGGACTGGTTTGGTGGATATGAATTCTTTTAGCCTATTTGTATCATGAAAGATTTTACTTTTACCTTCAACTGTGATAGACAGTAGCTGGGTAAACTGTTCTGGGTTGGCATCTATGAACATTTAGAACTTGGAATTCCTTTCTCCAGTCTCTTCTCGCTTTTAAAATTTGCATTAAAAGTCAGCTGTAATTCTCATGGGTTTTCCTTTATATGTAATCTGTTGTCTTTCCCTTGAAGCTTTCAGGACCCTCTCTTTGTTCTATACATTTAGTATTTTTACTATGACATGCCATGAGGAGTTTCTGTTCTGGTCCTGTCTCTGGTGTTCTGAGTACTTCTTGTATTTGCATGGTTATGTCTTTCCTTAATTTAGGGACGTTTTATTCTCTATTCCTGTTGAAGATCTGGTCAATGCCACTGACCTGAGATTCTTTTCCTTCCTCTATGCCTATGATTCATAGATTTGGTCTTTCCCTGGTGCCCCACATCTCCTGCATATTCCATTCCTGTGTTTTTAAATTTTTTTCATATTCTTTGCTTGATCCATCCAATTCTTCAACTTTGTCATCCAGTCTTGATATTCTGTTTTCCATGTCATTTATTCTTCTGGTGAGGCTCTCTCCTGTCATTTCAAATTGGCTTAGTGAGTTTTTCAGTTCCATCTTCATTTTGGCTTGAGTTTTCTTCAATATTTCTATCTCTTTTGTGAATTCACTTTACATGTTCTGAATTGTCTTCATCATTTCCTTCAGCTGTATATTTGTATTTTTTCTTGCACTTCAGTCAGGAGGTTATTCCTATCCTCTTTGAATTATTTGAGTTGTTCATGTGGTCTTTAAATCACTGAATTCTTTGATCATGTTTATGATTTTTCTTTTAAATTCTGTGTCCTGGAGCTCATCGAGGTAGTTCTCATTATAGTGCACTTCTGTAGCATGGTGGGTTTGGGTTTTTCATATTTTTTCTGTTTTTGCATTGTGGCCTGAGCATGTGGATTTCTTTTGTTGATTGTGTGTCTGATAAGAAATTATAACTTGCCTTTGTTTAGCTGGAGTTTGATTCTGTTTATATTGTCGATGTAGCTTGGTTGCTGTCTGATTGGGTGTAAATAGCTGCTCTGTGCTTCAGGAGAGGGAGAGGGAGATGGAGGGAGAGGGAGAAGGAGAGACTGAAAGTGAGACTAGGCAATAAACTCTCAAGCCCACCCCGGTGACATGCTTCCTTCTACCATGGTCACACCTCCTAAAGGTTCCATGACCGCCCCAGACAGCACTCCCAACTGACCAAGTGTTCAGACACTTAGAGTGTGTGGAGGACATTCTCATTTAAACCACCACAGAAGGCTGGACAGCAGGTGCCTTATGTGCTGAGCCATCTTGCCAGTCCTCTCAGTTTTAGTTTTGAATGCAGTAAATATTGACAGATATCATCTACCTAGACAGAAGCTCGATGTAATTCTCAACTATTTTTAAGAATGAAAAGGGTAGTGCTCACTTTGGCAGCACATATCCTAAAATTAGAATAACACAAATATTAGCATGGCCCCTGTGCAAGGATGACATGCCTTCAGTCTCAGCACTTGGGAAAGTTGGCTCAACCATTAAAAGGCTTGCTGGGCAAGCATGAGGACCAGGAGCTCAGAGCCCCAGAAACCTATTTAAATTCCAGGTAGGCATTATGCCCACTCACCTGTAATTCCATCCTCAGAAGGAAGAGATAGGACATCAAGACTAGCCGTATGGGTGACCTCTGGGTTTGACTGAAAGGCTTTGCCTTAATGAATAAGGTGAAAGAGTGACTGAGGATGATTTCTGACATCAACCTCAGACCTCTACATGCACAAGAACTCGCACACGTGCAAACATACATACATGCACACATGTACATGCCACACAAAACACACACACATACACAACACGTACACACACAAACACATTCATGCATGCATAAATGAGCAGGTACATGCTCAGAGGGCCTTAACACCGAAAAGTTTGAGTGACTGTCCTGGAGAATCCTGCACGTGTGCACCCCAGACAAGCACGAGACTCAGCAGCAATCTTCTGAGCAGCCTGAAGCTGGAACCAGTCCAGACACATCCTAACGGTAAAAGGGATAATAAAAGGTTGAACGTCATCACAAAGGAAGAGTACACAGCAGGGATAAAGCACAGAGCACATGGCAACAACATGGATGCACACATAAGAACTCTGTATAGCACCAAAAAGACTCAAGGCACAGAACAATATCATGCCATTCCACTTACATAAAGTATGACAGGCAAAACAAAAATTTACTTAAAGGATACTTACAAGATAGATAAAACATACTCCCTGGAGAAATTCAGAAAAGTAATAATTATTGCCATAAAAGTCAAAATAAAGAAAATTTTAAAGAGGGAGTGAGACATGGCAGCTAACAACTGTCTATAACTCCAGTTCCAGGGAATCTGATGTCCTCTTCTGACCCCTGTGGGCACTGCACTACACAGGTACACTTACATGTATGTAGGCAATATACTCATATACATAAAATAAAAATAATAAGTAAAATATTTTTAAAGAGGGGGTGAGAAGGGGAGTAAGGTCATGCTTTTGAGTAACCAGCAATGTTCTATGTCTGAATAACAGCACAGCATACACAGAGGAGCATTTTAATTGTCCCTTAAACCTTACATGTATGTTTTTGTACTTTTCTATATGCATTACAGATACTTTGAGCATCAATAAATTTCTTCAGGGAAATGTGGCATATATTTTTAAAAATCTCATTTTATCTTAAAAAAAAAACTCTCATTCTGTCTGGCCTGGTGGCACACATCTTTGATCCCAGCACTCAGGAGGCAGGGGCAGAGGCAGGTGAATCTCTGTAAGTCCACGGCCAATCTGATATACATCAGGAGTTTCAGGCCAGCCAGGGCTACGTAGTGAGAGCCTATCCCAGAAAAATAAAAGCAAAACAAAATAAAAAATAGCCAACTAAATGAATAAATACCATTTTAAAATCTCATTGGCTCTTGTTCATTTGACAATTAGTAGAAAGCTGGGTGTGGTGGCTCAGACCTGTACTCAGGAGGCTGAGGCAGAAGTAATATAGTAAAACAGCCAAGGCAACATAGTGAGACCCTGTCTGAAAACAACAGCAACCACAAAGAGATAACCCAACAGTTATGGTTGTGATTCCTGTGGGAGACTTATAGGTCCAACAGAAAAAAATTATTTATTCAAACTTGGTAATTTGAGGCAAGTCTAATCAAAGAACCACTCACAAAGGTGTGGACAGGACATAAAGAACTCAAAAGAAGTAGTAAAATGGCCTAGTTTCCTGGGTGGATTACTAGTCCCACCCACGGGCTGAAAGTGACAAGGAAAAAAATGTCAGTATAGAGCCAGGGCACACGGCCACTGTAGACTCACAACTGTTAGTCAGAAGCTGTGGCCACGAGTGGCAAGGTGGAGCCGGCCAGCCACACACAGGAGAGAGTATTGGATTTTCCCCTCCTGCCTCCCTCTCTTCCTCTGGCCATCTGTCTGTGTTTCCTGTTGCTGAATTCAGCTAAAAGCTGGAAAGCCAGAGGAGGTACTAAGGCAGTTTCCCAGGGACCTGAGCAGAATGGAGCAAAGTGCAGTGAGTAGATGGAGAGTGGTAAGCACCTGGTCACGTGCCTGACCTGAACCCAAAATGTTAGCCACCACCAAGAGTTCTCTTCCAACACTGGAGGGAGGGGTAGAGGAAAAGAGCAAGCTACACAGGACACAGCTAGTAATCTCCTGCTTCCCTAGCTGCCTGCAGGTGCCTCCCTCTCCCTCCCATGTCCGTCAATACTTCCATTGGATGCAGCTGGATGTGGTGTCCACTCCCATCCTTGTGGCAGGATGTAGAGGCAAAGATGCTTTTGCTTACTTTTATCAAGCAGGTTCAGGGAGGCCCAAACTTCACTGTCTGTGGGCTACAGGGTGTGGATAGTCTTGGGTTTACTGAGTGACTGTTCTTGTCCATTGACCAGACCACAGGGCCAAGAGGTTATTCACTGAGTCCCTGAACTGTACACATACCTACCCTGTTCCATCCCCCATATACAGCAGCAAGCTAATCTCTACTAGTAAGGACCTGCTACCCAGTCTTTAAAAATTGGTTCTATGGCCTGAGGAAGCAGAGGGAACAGCTTTCATTTCACTGGAGCCATGTCAACTATATGTCCTACTTTAGAAGGACACCACAAGCAAAAGGATTTGAGATATCTGCCCAAGTTTGCATAGTTAGTACATAATCTGGAACTAGAACCCCAGACCGTGACTATTGGACCCACTGTAAGAGGATATCAGCATCTTAATTTTTTTTAACATTTGTTTATGTAGTGGTGTCAGATTCAGAGGACAACTTGCTGGAATCTATCTCTTCCATCATGCGGGCTTTGGGGATTGAACTCAGGTCATCAGGCTTGGCAACAAGCACCTTTGCCCACTGAACCAGCTCTCTAGCCTGATATCTGCATGTCTTACCACTGTGACAGGCAGACCTGGGAAACAGCAATAACATCTCATTAGATGGTGATAAATGGGACTCAGGGGAGGGAAAAGCACATAGCTCCAGATGTCCTTTAGATATTAGTTACTGTAGGGGGCAATAAAACATTTGTCATCCTGCTGTCTACCTGGCAAGCTATGGTAGTGAGCTGCTTTTGTCCTGTGTTTTTCCAAAGCCAGGCCATCTCCAAAATGGTTCATCAGCACGATGACTACTGAAGTGCATATAAATGTATTTGCTAATAAACTTCCTCAGGACTGGAAAATAATATCACTTTCTTTTGTAACATTTCCTGTCCATCTCCCCAAAAGCTCACTCACTGTGGTTTTTATTTTTGGTCACACAGAAATTCATTTCAGTGGAGCAATTAAGGGCCCTTCTACTCTGTTAAGCACCATCAAAATGAATCTTCTGCCACACTGGAGGGATTTCAGAAACCATGCTAGGATGTTTGGAAGTGACACTGCATTTCGGGATCACCACAGCTTTTCCATGGCCCATTAAGCTGTCTGTAAGTGGCAAGCAATGAGGCAGGGAGGAAGGAGGGATGAGGCCAAAATGCAATGAAGAAAGGAGAATGAGTTCGCTGAAGGGAACGCCAGTGTGAGAGAGGCAGCAGCTAGCTCTTCAGCCTTCACTATCTGAGATAGTGGTCATGTTTTATCCCTTTTACCATCCCTTACATTCTGCACTTTAAGACAAAAGTTACCAACTCCTTTGTGCTAAAACCAGTGAAGTAAAGAACTTTATCAAAAAGCTTTATTTTTAATTAATTGATTTTTAAATGTACATGAGTGTTTTGCCTACACATATGTAAGTGCTTCCATGGATGCAATGCCCACAGAAGACAGAAGAGGGTGTTGGGTCTCCTGGAACTGGAGTTACAGACAATTGTTAGTCACCATGTGGGTGCTGGGCGTCAACACGGGTCGACTGCAAGGGCAGCCAGTGCTCTTAACTGCTGAATCATCTTTCCAGACTCCAAAGCTTTGTTTCCTAAAGCCTTGCATAACTCATTTCCCTTAGTCAATAGTAGGTTGAGGTACCTTGCTAAGAAAGAGAGAAATATATTAATGCTGTGCTAAGATTGTTCATGTGGAAAGTAAATAGAATATTCTGTTTAGCGTTTTCAATGGTATATATTAAAAGAGAAACGAGTCAGGTGGAAATTCAGTTCATTCTTAAGTTGAAAATATACTTGGGTTAGAAGGGCTTTTCACACCAAAGATCATGTAAAGTGAGTGTTTTTGTTTTTGTCAAATATTAAAATGCAGAAACATTTACAGCATAATTTTAATTTCATTAAATTACTTAATTTCATCATTTTAGAAGCAAGATACACCAATGTTAAGATTCAGTAAGCTTCAACAATAGTATGTACTCATTTAATTGCTACTTTAAGTTCCAGAAAGTTCCTTCACTCTTTTTGACTCCTTCTAGGTACCCTCCTAGACTTAAGCCTCATCACTTACCATTTATAGCTAGACAGCCATTTTCTAATCTGTCATTATGATGAACTTGCCTGCTGTTGGAATTCATGTAAGTGGAGTCATATCATATATATATATATATATATATATATACAATATTTATGTTTGGTTTATTTCATTCAACACATTTCTGGATCCATTCATGGTTTTGCATGTGTCATAGCTCTTCCTTCTATTGTGCAGTGTCTCTCTGTGTAAATACATCATACTGTTCTGTTCTCTTGATGAACACTTATTTTTAGCTGTTGTGACTATAACTGCTGTGAATATTCTGTTTGGGTATTTTGTTTTGTTTCATTTTCAGACAAAGTGTAACTATGGTACCAGATTTTAGACAATGTCTCATTAGCCCAGACAGGCCTGAAACTCACTAAAGGAGCCAAGTAGCCTGGAACTAGTGATCATCCTGCCTCAGCCTCCTGAATGCTGGGATTATAGCATGTGCCATTAAGGTCTATAAACATTCTTATACAAGATTTTCTGTGGACATGAGCTTTCTTCTGGGTATTTATCTAGGAGTCACATGGCAACTTTTTGTCTAAGGAATTTCCAGACTGTTTCCCTCATTTTACATACC